ATTGAGAAATACCCAAGGCTATAGCCCATGGTTTTTTTCCAAAAAATGGCTCTGAAATCACCCCAATTTTTATTACATTTTCTGATACATATTGATGTCTTTATGCTGTGTAGAAAGTTTGAGGTGGCTCCGACTTTACTTTTTCAAGTTATGGCCATTTTTAATAAATGGCATTTTTAATAATTGGCCATTTTTTGAAAAATACCCAAGGCTATAGCCCATGGTCTTTTCCAAAAAATGGCTCCAAAATCACCCCCCATTTTTATTGCATTTTCTCATACATATTGATGTCTTTATGTTGTGTAGAAAGTTTGAGGTGATTCCGACTTTACTTTTTCAAGTTATGGCCATTTTTAATAAGTGGCCATTTTTTGAAAAATATACCAAAGGCTATTTTTTAGCATTCAAATGGGTACTGACTGAAATTACATTTGCCTCCACTCTGCATCTAGTCTACTTAAAATCACCCCCCATTTTTATTACATTTTCTGATACATATTGGTGTCTTTATGCTGTGTGGAAGATTTGAGGTGATTCAGACTTTAATTTTTTAAGTTATGGCCATTTTTAATAAATGGCGAATTTATTGAGAGTACCCAAGGCTATAGCCCATGGTTTTTCCAAAAAATGGCTCAGAAATCACCCTCAATTTTTATTACATTTTTTGATACATATTGATGTCTTTATGCTGTGTAGAAAGTTTGAGGTGTCTCCAACTTTAATTTTTCAAGTTATGGCCATTTTAAATAAATGGCCAATTTTCGAAAAATACCCAAGGCTATAGCCCATGGTTTTTTCCAAAAAATGGCTCCGAAATCACCCCCAATTTTTATTACATTTTCTGATACATATTGATGTCTTTATGCTGTGTAGAAGATTTGTGGTGATTCCGTCTTAAATTTTTAAAGTTATGGCCATTTTTAATAAATGGCGAATTTATTGAGAAGTACCCAAGGCTATAGCCCATGGATTTTTTCCAAAATAGGCTCCGAAATCACCCCCAATTTTTATTACATTTTCTGATATATATTGATGTCTTTATGCTGTGTAGAAGTTTGAGGTGATTCCAACAAGATATTTTGAAGTTACAACTCTTTTTAAAAAAATGAGCAAATTTTTGAAAAATACCCAAGTTCTATAGCCCGTGGTTTTTTCCAAAAAATGGCTTGGAAATTACCTCAAGTTTTAATTAATTTTTCTGATGCATAAAGGCAGGTTACATTATGATATTAGTCCTGACGTTATGTTGATGAGAATTACGTTGATATCAGAATTTGGTTCAACTCATATCCATTAAAAGGTCAAATCACCCACGCTTTTGATTAAAAATTGACAATACGTTGGCCTAGCATCATATTGTTAACGTGCCTTAATGCATATTGATGTCCTTATGATCCTGACAAATTATTTTTGAGTGACATTGTATAGGCATTTTTAAAATTTTGAGAAAAAGCAACAGCTATAACCAATAGTATTTTTACAAAAAAAATTGATTCCATTTATTAGTACATTGGCTATAAAACTGAAATATTTGTAATCTAAAAT